CCTCTTCAGCGGCATTCATGGCTCAAGTCCCAATCCTGGATATCTGCTGGGTGGTGATCTGTTCTTCCATACACACATTCACCTCGTGCTGTGCCATCACTCAACAGTCCAGAAATGCTGTGGCTTTTTGGGACAGCAGTCCTCCGGTCAGTGTTTCAGCGAAACTCCAATCACATCACCTAACTGATTGCTTGGGAATCAACTACATTGGAATGGACATGAGCAAGCACTCAAAGAAAAAAAGATGGTTACTAACCTTTCCTAACTGTTGTTCTTCGAGATGTGTTGCTCATGTCCATTCCACAACCAACCCATCTGCACCTTTGTCGGAGTTGCCAGCAAGAAGAAACTGAAAAGGTGGTGGGTCGGCAGGTGCCTATATACTGTGTCATGTAGGTGCCACCAGGGGGCACCAGAGTCGATCTGACATATACCACTAGGACAGTGGTTCCCAAACTGGGGTTCGTGAACCCCTGGGGGTTCGCGAAATGTTACAGGGGGTTCTCCGGAAAAAAATCCCTAATGGCGGACAGAGCTGTCCCTAGGGACCTCGGAGAGCAGGGGGCCAGCAGCCCGGCACCCCTGGACTTCCAAGAGCTAAGCAGATCAAAGCAAGCCTATCAATCACACTGAGGAGATTTAAACGTCAGGACTCCTTATAAGAAATGGAAATGGAGCTGGATATTTTTTGCTGTTTTTAAAATTAAATAGGCAGCTAGTATTGTTTCTAAAATTATTATAAAGAACAAGTTTAAGCTTTGTTGTAACGTGCGTTGTTTGCCAGGACTGCTCAAGACCTGAATGCTTCTGTAGGAGGAATGACTTGAGCTGGCTTCTTAAATACCTTCCTGCTGTTTCACATCTGATGCTCCTTGATGAAACATAGGAGCCTTGTCTTATAACAGGCTTATTCAAAGTGATACAAAGTACGAAAGTGAGATTTTGAAAGAGTGTTGCTGTTTTCATAATGTAATAAAAATACTGTAATGATAAATAATAATAATAATAATAAATAGTGTGTAATAAGCATGTCATAAAAACAAATTTAATATTTCCAAGATCACTGCTTTTATAATTTATACTCAGGTAAAGGAGAAAATCCCTGGAAACATTCATTTTTAGGAGGAGGTTCGCGAGACTTGACATTTCAGTGAAAGGGGTTCACAGGTTGTTAAAGTTTGGGAACCACTGCACTAGGAGAAAAACTTCTGGCAATGGTGCATGCGGTGCACGCACACCTATATTGGAATGGACATGACCAACACATCTCGAAGAACAACAGTTATGGAAAAGTTAGTAACCATCTTTTTCTGTTTGCACTGAGCATGCTCCATCCCCTCACAACTTCTGCGCACCATCCCCACAGAGCTATTGAGCATGTTACATCCTAGGGCTGCAGGGGCTGAGCAGCACTTTCCTTGCAATTGCTCCTCCTGGTTGTCAAGAGGCTACTGAGGTGCTAGGTACCAGAACTGAGCAGGGAAATTCTGTCTCTTCTGGGCTCTCAGGGTCCACCCTTGCAGGCGCCCTGGCAGCGAGGAGGAGGAGGAAGATGCTTTATTGGAATACAGAGGGGTAAGGAATGGCAGCAGGGGATGAGGAGGTTGTGGGTAGAGGTGGGGAAAGAACTGGGGGGTGGGTGGGAGACAGAGACTGGCCAGGGACACAGAAGCAGAAGGGTCTATAACCATTAGAGTACACTCTCCTCCAGAACCTGGAGCTGAATCCAGAAGTCCTCAGTCTCTACATTCCTCTGTTGTCAGCAAATAACTGAAATCCATTGGCAAAGTGTGTGTCTAGTGACTGGTCTACATAGGGATAACAGCCTACTACTGCTACCATTCACTCCATTAATTCAAGTGGTAGAGATCTGTGCTGAAGATATAAGGGGTCAACCCAGGTGTGTGTGTGTGGGGGTGAATCAATATAGTTCAATGTGTTGGCATTTGTTTTTTCAGGTTTTTTTACATTAGTAAATTACACTGGTCTACAATTTTTGAGAAGTCGTCTGCTTCAGAGATAAAATGTGCTATTTATTATGTATTTTGATGTGCTGAATTCAAATATGACAATTAAAACAACTGGCTACTGTTTCTAAGATATTTAAGTTTTTACATTTTATGTCTATGTATATTGTGTAGATAGAGTTTTAATCATAAATTGTAAACCTAGGTCTTTTCATGTGTTTATGGTTGCTTTACATGATAATATTTCACCTGTCCTGTTTATGTAACACTTTAAAAATCAGCAAAAGGGTTATATAAATAAAATTTATTATGAAACAAAAGGCAAAAAAACTATTATGTACATAGTTTAGTCCTATTCAGTGTCTACTCGGCACTTCTTGGCTTGTCTCTTGTATTCATTAAATGGAGCATCTCTTGTCACTGTCCAGCAATAGTCTGCAAGCATTGATGGGCTCCATTTGCCCTGATAGCGTTTCTCCATTGTTGCAATGTCCTGGTGAAATCGCTCGCCGTGCTCGTCGCTCACTGCTCCGCAGTTCGGTGGAAAAAAATCTAGATGAGAGTGCAAAAAATGTATCCTTAGTGACATGTTGCAAACAATGCTTTTGTATGCCTTGAGGAGGTTTTCCACCAACAACCTGTAGTTGTCTGCCTTGTTGTTTCTGAGAAAATTTATTGCCACTAACTGGAAGGCTTTCCATGCCGTCTTTTCCTTGCCACGCAGTGCATGGTCTAATGCATCATCTCGAAGAAGTTCACGAATCTGAGGACCAACAAAGATACCTTCCTTTATCTTAGCTTCACTTAACCTTGGAAATTTACGCAATTCATATCATGTATGATGCAATACCAGCTTCAGATTGCATCATTCATTGTTTTGCCTAAAAAGCAAGTACTGTCCAAACCCAGTCATAGATTTATTCATAGATCCAGTCAAAGATGTATTTTAGTCATTTCTGGTTTAAATTGAGATCCCTTCCCTTTATAACTCACTTATCCTCCGCCATTCCCAAATCAAGGGTCGTATATACTGACCCAATAGCATATCTTGAAAACTAGAGCCAATCAACAATTTTAAGCATCATTTTCGTTCTCAGTGACCCAGAATTAGTAAAGTTTGACTACATTTATTTCAGAAGCATTTTGGCTGTAGAGCAGCGTTACATCCAAAACAATTTATGTTAAGAGGATATTAAGGTTGGAGTCAAAAGTGGAGTCGGAAATGGCAGAACTGAGGTTGCTGATGCCCTGGGGTGAGCCTCTGTCATCATGTAGAGTCAGTAATGGATGGGAGAAGGCCAAAATGCTCTTCCAGCTCAAGGATATTTCACAGAGAAGCAGGGAATGGGTTGGAAACAAAGAAATTGGAGTTGTTTTTGCTGGTCATTGAGCTGAGGAGTGTTATATGGCACAGGCAGGCAACACCTGGGCACAGTCTCTGTCCCTTTTAGGCTTGACACCCTCATCTGTAATAATATCCCACAGCAAAGGCTCTGAAACATAATCCCATTCCAGTCAGGCCCTGGAAAGAGTGGCACCACCAGCCAAGCTTTCCCCACTCCCTGATTGGCCCAGTACTATCAGCTCCTTTTCTCAGTTTCCATTTTGGCTGTGATACCCAATGCTAAGAGCCGATTGGCCAGCTGCCTCCTTCTCCTTCCCCCTGGGATTGGTTGAAGGAGTGAACTGATTGGTCCCTGGGCTGCCCATGTGGTGCATGAAGTAAGCAGGTGGGACAGCAGAGCATCTGAGTGCTTAGACATTGAAGAACAGCCAACGGAGGATCTTGGGCTCCCTGCAAAGGTGCAGCTGGAGTTATCTGTGGAGTCTCAGCAACCACTTCCATCATCTGCTTTGACTGCCTCTCCCCAAGGCCAGCAGAGAGAGAAGCCACCTGAAGTCACTCCCACTGAATCTTTATCTAAAGTAACAGTTTGTTTATCATTCACCTGGGTCATTTAATCTTTTTTAAAATAGTGTTAAAGAGATGGGGGGAAACTGCATTTAACAATCATTGCGGGATAAAATATTTTATATCTTCAATTAAAAATGAATCCTGAATTACAATTTTTTTTTAAAAAATCAAACAAAAGAAAACCTTGATATTTAATTAAAACAGCAGCCAAGGAAATAATCAATACTCGATTTAAACATAGGTTTCAGAGTAGCAGCCGTGTTAGTCTGTATCTGCAAAAAGAACAGGAGTACTTGTGTTCTTTTTGCGGATACAGACTAACACGGCTGCTACTTTGAAACCTGTCATTATGCAAGGCACTGCATTTAGCCGTATGGAGTGGAAATCCATAAATTTGTTAGTCTCTAAGGTGCCACAAGTACTCCTGTTGATTTAAACATAATAAAAGAAAAGACTTAATATTCAGACACTAAGGAGGAATTGGACTTGGAGATACCTAATTTCGCATAGAAACTCTAGCTGTGAAGTTCCTGACCTAGGATTCTTTGGGACTCTCTTCCCCTGAAGATATTCCCACCCCAAGAGCCTGCATCTAAAAGTTTGAAGCCAGTAAAAAAAAAAAAATATATTTGGTGTTTCGGGACTATAAAGCGCTGGCAGGCATAAGCTTATAACTTTCTACTGAAGCTGTTTCATTCAAAAGGTAGAAGAAATCATTTTTATTTTCCTCTCTTAAAGAAAATATCTGTTTTATTGGCCGTTTACTGCTTATGCTATTTTCTTACTTGGTATTTTCATCTGAAGAAAGCTTTTTAAGTCACATTGCTTTAATTTTTTTTGGTTTTGAACATTTTTCTTGGTAAATTAGAGGGTGGTTTAATTACTGGTCCTCTTCATAGTAATAGACCTTTTCCCCCTTGACAGTGAAAACAGTGAGGCTTGTTAAATTAACCCTTGTGTTGGTTGGCAGATCTCTCTCTCTCTCTCTCTTTCTCTCTCAGGCACCTATCTTCTTAGTTTCTGTGTTGAGATGGAAGAAGTGTGGGTTGTCTACTTGTGCCTGTTCTTGCTTGTCTTGGTGCTCATTTTAATGAAGCGTGACCCAGATTTAACAAAGAAAGTTAAGGAAACACCAAGTACCCCAGCGCCAACCACCTATTATTCCAGTGGTGCTGGCAAACATCTGGAATACACTGAAGAAGAGATGGAGAAATCCCTGGAGAGGCTAACCAGCATCTTGTATGAGGTAGATGCTAGAAAAAGGGAAACCCACCATGAGCAGAAAATAGCAAAGGCAGAAGCCTATCACAAAGCACCTGACGCAGAGTCTGAAAATAAAGAGCTAATGGGAAAGGGGCCAGGACATTCCCAGCATCTATCTAGCCAGCACAGGGTTCAGGTAATGGAGCAAGGCCACCCAAGAATTTCAGAGTCAGCACTACATTGAGCTCTTGGTTGATATATTGAGTCCTGTTGAAATATATATGGTGGGTCGGTGGGTGGGGATGTGTATGTATGTAATACACACACAAACACACAGGCTTATGCTGTATTTCAACATGATCCAACAGTTCAACCTTAAGCTCCATGTAGTGTGTATTGGATATAGATATTTCCCACTTGTGTGTATATGAACCTGGTAAATCCATCTTATTTTTGACTGTACTAAGCATATAAGTAACTAGGATTTTTTTTTTATTTTAAGAAATAATGGGCCAGATCCTCAGCTGGTACAAATCTGCAAAACTCCTTAGACTTTAATGCATCTGTGTCCATTTAAACCAGCTGAGGATCTGGTCCAATATGTATAGATGCTCTGCTGACTCCCATCCTTGCCTGTTGCAGGTATAATGCTGAATGGTGGACAGTGTTTATATATATTTGCCCTTGTGTGGGGGTGATAATGCATATTATTTTGGTGGTGTTCCTAACTCCTAAGAATATGAAAGATGCCGTTGTAGACTTGTAAAATTCAACTTGCCTTAGGCAAGAAATTTTTTTAAGGGGTTGGGGACAAGTTAAATACCTTTATATTTTTTTAATCATTGCTCTCATCACAATAAGTCAGATTTTTGTGCTTGGGCTGACAAAGTTTCATGCCAGTTTTGCAAAGCTCTATTACTTTCTGCTAGCAGCTGTTTGAGGCACATACGTCTTCCATTGCCAGTACCCCACTTGTGAGATAACATATTCTTTTCTCAATGGGAGATATTTCTAAATGCTGAGTCCCTGATGCCCAGAGGGGCAGACAGGCACTTAATGTCAATATCCCATTTCTTGTCAAAGCAGCAAGAGGTGCTCCCAACATCCCCTGGTATGAGTTACCACTGCATACTGCCTTTTCAGTTAGCTAGACTCTGAGCAGCTGACTAAGAAATCCCATTTTAAATTCCCAGTCGTCAGCAGCTGACAGAGTGGCTATTTATGGATTAAAATAATCTAACTAAAGGGAGGTAGAGGTGGAGGATATCCAAAATGTGAGATTATTTCATGCAGCATATATTGAGAGACCCAATAACTCAGTTAATGACAACCCCCCTGGCATGTTATATAATTTTTTTATTTGTTTAAGTGTAGGTGCTGTTTGTTTTATTATCTCTTCTTTAGTCTGAAAATGGCAAAGATCTGTATTTGAAGTACTATGGCTCATCCAGTGGAATAATAGCATTACTTTTTGTTTATAGACACGTTAGTAGGAATTTAGATGGTAAAGAAATACTGTCATCTTATTGTTGTAGTTTGGAAACAGTGTTCTTAGGGTATCTGACTTCCATTTGTTTGCCCAAAAACTAGATTTTTTTCCCCGCCATCTTGATGCCATATATCCGCACTTTTGGGGCTCTCTTGGGGCACTTGACAGAACTATTGTGTGTGCCTCTGAACATCACCTTTATACACCCTTTTATTTTGTGAAATGAATGGTGATCATGGAGAATTAAAGTAGCAGAAACCCTTATTTTTTTGCAGGGGTTGGCGAAGAAGCTACAACCTGAATCAGTATTTGTCAATGACTCAGAATACAGGGCCTGCACCTGCTCCTATTGAAGTACCTGGCAAAACTACTATCAACTTCATGAGGAATGAGCGCAGGGCCAAAACCAGCAGGCTTTTTCTCTGTTGGTTAGCTGGAAACCTTCAATATAATCATAAGTGTTAATGTAGGGCATAGCATTGTCAGCTGTCTTTGAAGTTGGCTGATGGTATGTGGTGCATGAAGATGTTTTAAATCATTATAGAGCTTTGATTAATGGACCATTTGGATGCACCAGAAAGTGCAGCGGCAGATGAAGGCTTTTGGGTCTCGATCCAGGAGGCTATGAGACACTTTGATCCTTTCACTGTACTAGCAGTCTGATGGTGTTTTCACCTTTTAATGTCTTATAATAATTCAAAGTGAATTTAGTGTTGGTGGAAGGAGGTGGTTTGGGACCTCTCAGGATTGAAGACCTCCATTTATTTATTGAACAGAGACAGTTTGGAAGGCAGCATGCAAGCTTCCCCCATTACATGCTTCAACCTTCTGCTGAGCTGGCCACCTCTAGGGCTCAGTCTCCATGGTCCACTCTGCCCTGAAAATGCCAGCAGCAGTGCCAGTTGTGCTGGTGATTTTTGAGATGTGGATCATTGTCCGTTAGGAACTGGACCAAGACCAATTCATTTCACATGGGTTGCCCAACAGCCATTCTATAGTAATGTTAAGGCACCACTGTTTTGAACCAGCACCTTTGAGTGAAAGATGCTGTATTACATTGCCAGGTACCTATGTCATCTAGTGAGAGGGGAAGTCCACTAGGGCAGGGGTGACCAACCTGTGGCTCCGGAGCCACTTGCAGCTCTTCAGAAGTTAATATGCGGCTCCTTGTATAGGCACCAACTCCAGGGCTGGAGCTACAGGCACCAACTTTCCAACGTGCCGGGGGGTGCTCCCTGCTCAAGCCCTGGCTCTGCCACAGGCCCTGCCCCCACTCCACCCCTTCCCGCCCCCTCCCCTGAGCATGCCGTGCCCCTGCTCCTCTCCCTCCCTCACAGAGCCTCCTGCATGCCACAAAACAGCTGATCGGGAGGGGTGCTGGGGGGAGCTGATGGGGGGGGGGGGCTGCTGACATATATTACTGTGGCTCTTTGGCAATGTACATTGGTAAATTCTGGCTCCTTCTCAGGCTCAGGTTGGCCACCCCTGCACTAGGGGCTTTGCTATTGCTGTTGATTTTATATGGAAGGCTCTGTTGCTATAGTGATGGCAGCAGTATAAAACCCATAGATATTCACCTGAAGTGAAACTTTACATCCATGTTTACTCAATTTGAAACATACTTAGCTCTAGTTCTGAGCTAGAAACAGCTGTGAGTCTTGAACTGCCATTTCATCAGAGACAAGGAGCCTCAAGCTGAACTGGGATGCATCTCTTCCCGGCTAGATTTCCATGCTTCCAATGTGGCTGATCATAGAAGTTCCAATGGGAAATCTTGGGCCCTCCAGTTGAAGTATTCAGCTAATATATCTGCAGCTGTCCCTTCTCCCATGTCGTGTGATGCTGGGTGCCAAGAAATCTAGTAGTTTTCAAGAACAGTTGCTGACGACTTCTGGTAATGAATGGCTGATTTTTAAATATGGGTAGTTGCCACAATCATAAAAGTGAAGTCTTGTAGAAGTATATGATTGTGTTATTGCAACATCCAGTTAAGCTAATTTAACAAATCTAACAAAATTAAGGGGAGCATTTCATTACTAAAGCCTGAGTTTTGTAAGAGCTTTGAAGTGACCGACCATCCCATTTGTAAAATAGTTACTGTGGATGCTCTGAAGCCGTTTTTGATGAGTTGGATACAAAATCTCATTTCTGACTATAGATTATCTTTCCTTGGTATTTATGAAACTTGATTGTTACGGTTTCTTATTTCTGCTATTGTATTATGGGTCAATTGACATTTGGTAACCCAAGTATGTATGTATTTTCCAAATACACTCGTGTTGCTCTATAAAGCTAGACTGATACATTCATAGATGCATAGATTTTTTCAAAGTCTGGTGGGAACATTAGACCGAGTCTGACCTCTTGTATAACACAGGCCATAGAATTTCATCCAGTTACCCCTGTATGAAGCCCAGTAACTTATGTTTGACTAAAGTATATCTCTACTACTGATCTTGAAAAAGGGGTAATAGTGAGATGGCAAAATTTGCAGATGATACAAAACTACTCAAGATATTTAAGTCTAAAGCAGACTGCGAAGAGTTACAAAGGAATCTCACAAAACTGGGTGACTGGGCAACAAAATGGCAGATGAAATTCAGTATTGATAAATGCAAAGTAATGCACATTGGAAAACATAATCCCAACTATACATATAAAACAGTGGGGTCTAAATTAGCTGTTACCACTCTAGGAAGAGATTTGGGCGTCATTGTGGAGAGTTCTCTGAAAACATCCACTCAATGTGCAGCGGCAGTCAAAAAAGCTAACAATGTTGGGAATCATTAAGAAAGGGGTAGATAGTAAGACATAAAATGTCATATTGCCTCTATATAAATCCATGGTACGCCCACATCTTGAATACCGCATGCAGACTTGGTCACCCCATCTCAAAAAAGGTATAGTGGAAAAAGTACAGAAAAGGGCAACAAAAATGATTAGGGGTATGGAACAGCTTCCGAATGAGGAGAGATTACTAAAACTGGGACTTTTCAGCGTGGGAAAAAAGAGAACTAATAGGGGGGAATACAACAGAGGCCTATAAAATCATGACAGGTGTGGAGAAAGTAAATAAGGAAGTGTTATGTACTCCTCATAACACAAGAACTAGGGGGTCACCAAATTAAATTAATAGGCAGCAGGTTTAAAACAAACAAAAGAAAGTATTTCTTCATACAATGCACAGTCAACCTATGGAACTCTTTGCCAGAGGATGTTGTGAAGGCCAAGACTATAACAGGGTTCAGAAAAGAACTAGATAAGTTCATGGAGGATAGGTCCATCAATGGCTATTAGGTAGGATGGGCAGGAATGCAAAACCATGCTCTGAAGTGTCCCTAGCCTCTGTTTGCCTGAAGCTGGGAATGGGCAACAGGGGATGGATCACTTGATGATTACCTGTTCTGTTCATTCCCTCTGAAGCACCTGACATTGGCCACTGTTGGAAGACAGGATACTGGGCTAGATGGACCATTGGTCTGACCCAGTGTGGCCGTTCTTATGTTATGTTCCAGAAAGGCATTCTGGACTTGACTTAGACTAAAACTTGAAGAGATGGAGAATCCACCACTTCCACAGGTAGTTTGTTCCAGTGGTTAAAGCACAATAAAGTGGTATACTGGTATAGATCTCTCACTTAATTTCCTGCTCATAAAAGTAAGGGAATGAAAGTACCAAGTAAAGCTGGACATAATGGACATGACCTA